CACACACTATTTATTCATCATTTCACGCACACTATTTATTTACACTAACCTTCTAAAAACATTTTTGAGAGCTCTATATTGTTCTTCATGTTGTTTCGAAAACGGAACACAGTTGATTTTCTACGTACAAACTGCACAACTTTTTATATTAAAGAATTAGCACTACGATCTGACGCCATACGCCGTAAATTCAGTCGATAAAACAAATTCAGTTTAGGATCCCCTTAAGTGTAATTTATATAGATTCTTTATTTATATTTCGTATTTTTTAAATTGTTTACAAGTGGTGTGTATTATATACACTCGCACTTTTTCTTTTTTTTCTTTGCAAATTTCTGTACACACTCACAGATGGATATGGCCGAAACAATCAACGCGTTGCCGTAAAATAGCGCCGAGAATTTCGTCGAGACATTCCTGGAGAAGTCCTGCAGCAATAGCTCCTCTTCTTTGGTGAACGATTTCGATTTACCGGACATCTTCAATTTACCGTATCAGAATTTACCGTATACTGTGTGTTTTACATTCTTATTAACTATAACTTTATAGTAAAAAAAAAAAAGAAAAGACAAAAAGAGTTCCGTACGTAATATTGTGTTGTGTTATTTCAATGAGCATCTAAAGGAGGTTTTAGATGCACATATGTGCATAAACATTGATATTGAAAATGTGGTAAAACAGTCAAAGTAGCGTGAACAAATTCATCAATAGAAAGACTTTCTTATCTCTCGATGAGATGTAAAAACGACGTACTGTGAGTGTAATCCCACATTTGAGCATGATAAAATTAAGAGTAAGATGATATATACAGATCTGCATTTCCAAAGCTGCTGTGCTTGCCGCTTAGCAAGACTATTTTCTTATGAAAAGTCGCGTTTACTACGAAAATAAACAAATAATTTTAAATGTAACTACAGATTTGTTTATTGTATAAACTATATTTAGTATAATATATTGTACAACTAAAATTATTCTTCTTGTCGTTCATTCTCACCTATGCATTATAGTAAACATTTTTGCTTAAAAAGTAGAAAAACGTTGTATTATAAATAAAAATACGATACGTACAATTATTATGGAACTAAAATTATAGTATTTAATATATCGTTATATTAATATATTAAAATATCTTTGGAATAAAGATGTATTTTTTTTCTGTTTGTCGGTAAAAAAATAATCTTTTTATAATTTTTTATTGCAGAATATATGTCTATACATACAACAAAATCCACAAAACCTCATAGATGTTCATTACATATCGCATAGAGCTGTGAGCGTTTAATCAACATTTGATGAGGGTTTTGTTGTGTGTAGATGTGTTATAGCTACTTAGTTGGATACTTGATAGTATAAAACTTAGACAAAATAGGAGCTATATATGTATATACTAGAAGTGTGCAAAGTTTTCGGCGTTTTTTTAATTAAAAAATTATCATTATTATTATTAAAAATACAAAATGTTCAATCTTCCTTAAAATATTTTCTCTTGCTTTCTATCACCTTTTGCTATCTATCAAGTAATTGATGAATTTCGGAAGAATTGTTTAGAGCGTGGTTTGTCGCTGACGTCGAAGTTATCACTTTTTTAAGTTTCAATAACCACTTCCGACACGTTCTCGCAGCATTTATTTCATATTCGGAATAGATAAGTCACAAGTAATTTGTGCTTTGCAACTGTGTTGCATAGATTGAACTAACATGCAGTTAAAAATAAAAAATGCATGTGCGCTTTATCGATCTCTATTTTTAAAGACACTAGAAAAAACATTATTCGCTAAAGATTATGACAATTCGCATTCGATTATGACAATAAAGTACAATATAAAAATGCGAGAGATAAAAAAGCAAAGTCATTAACAAAGCCGAAGGCCGTATGGCGATATGTGACGCCGAACTTTTGTACACCTCTAATAATTTCCTTATCTATCCTAGCTTCTCATTGAGAATTTATATTGTCACATCATTTGCAGTGGGGAATATCACTCAGTATACAATTTTTCTATCAAATCCACGTACATTTTCAAGACCACGTTCTTCTTGAGTTTCAGTGTGGGTCCCAACTCGAGACCGGCCCAGTGGTCTCGCGGCCTGAGTGCAGGGGCTGCGAACTTGGAGGTCCCGAGTTCGAATCCGCTCACCATCGAAGGATTTTTTCCGGGCCGGTCCCTTTCAACCGAGTTTATCGGTTGATTGGCGAACTTTAATCGGGCCTCCAAAAGTTAAATTCGGGTGTAATCCCGAATTAATTTCCCTCCCAAACACAAGGCGGGGATCGTAGTCTTAACACCTTGAGCACGAGCCCGACAAAGATGGGCACACGCCCACTGTGAAAGCGGCCGTGGTAGTAGGTAAAAACTGTGCACATCCCCCCCCCCCCACATTCGTTCTGAGAATGTATATCTATAGACTGGCGTTTGTTCCTCTCTCGCTCGATGACAAATATGTTTGATATGTGTTAGAAACTGTCTGCAAACTAGGCTCGAGTGGAACTAGACTCGACACAATCTGTTTCGAAGTATCTGTAATACTAATCTTTTATGAAGAGAGTCTTCGATGTTCCAAGACCGCCTGTAAGGGCCGTATTCAAAGTTCGTACTTATTTTTAAGATCGCCTTAAGTTTAGTCTGAAGACTCCCTCTAGATTCATAGTCAAAAATAAGGCAGGACTTGAGCAAACGTTTTAAGAAATATCTTGGTCAAGATGATTTTATTTAGATGCGTCTTAATATGATTCATAAATCCATTTAAGCATGAGATTGAAATTACCTTATTTATCATAAATTCATAAATCACGACGCGCGTATTGCGTGTAGTGGGAGTGTTCGTTTCCCGCGCAACATATATAACATAATATGTACACCATACACGTGGAAGAAGTCAATTTCAACTAAAGGCGGAGATTGGTTGCAACACATTTCGTGTTACATTTTTCTTTATCTTTATCCCGAATCACTGAATTTTCCTCATTATTTTTGCATCACGTTCGAGGTTTTGTATACGCGTGAATTTTATTGTATACTTACAGATATTTGTTACCTATTTCGGTTCTTTTCTAGCAAGAAAACACAAAAACGATGACCAAAGCGGAGAACAAACGAAGGTGAGCTCGCAGTGTAAAGACCTTTTGGCTCCTGAACGCGGAATCTAATGCGATAACGAACTACGCGATGACCAATCAACAAAGCGTCTCGCTTCCGAAAGTTTACTATTTTCAAAAAACCGCGTTCAAAAACCGTTCTTTTCTCTAGTCCTAATTAAACTTCCGTCCACGCGGCACCCGTGTCTTATAGCGTTAACATTATGTGTCAAATACTTTGTATCACTTTGTATCTCTTCGTCTGTTTTTTTTTTTGTTTCTTATAATGAAACACACTACGATCTTTCGACAGTAAGATATGTCGACAATAAAAAAAAATTTGACTTAAAAGTTTTAAATGTATAACAAGCAACATTGAGTTGACTTCTTAGTGACTCGAGAACTTCAACATAGTTGTCTACATATTTCGAATCTCAAGTTTAAATTTCAGTTTCAGTAGACCTAGGTCAGTAGTCAGTAGTCTTAAGGGGATCCTAAACTGAATTTGTTTTATCGACTGAATTTACGGCGTATGGCGTCAGATCGTAGTGCTAATTCTTTAATATAAAAAGTTGTGCAGTTTGTAAGTAGAAAATCAACTGCGTTCCGTTTTCGGAACAACATGAAGAACAATATAGAGCTCTCAAAAATGTTTTTAGAAGGTTAGTGTAAATAAATAGTGTGCGTGAAATGATGAATAAATAGTGTGTGTATTCCAATATTGTTCTGAAAATATTCACGCACACTATTTATTCATACTAGGCTTCTAAACGCATTTCTGAGAGCTCTATATTGTTCTTTATGTTGTTCCGAAAACGGGACGCAGTTGGTTTTCTATGTACAAATTGCATAACTTTTTATATTAAGCGAATATTACTACAATCTGACGCCAAAAGCTGTAAACTTGGGCGGTAAATCGACGGAGTTCGACCGTCAGTTTAGGATCCCCTTAAGTGACGAAATCCGAACTACCGTGCTAGCTATAAATAATTTTTTAACACTGCTGATTAATTGTGCAATACTTGGAAGCCCGACACAATTTGTCTTTTATCCGATATATATACATGCGCGGTGAAATTTGCAATGAATAGAAAGAGACCAGACTGGAAGAATTTTTGTTCAGGCGGATTTGAAGTCCTCGGGACTTCCAGGCAGTCTTTGCGCTAAAGTCGCGAAACCAATGACCGGTCAAATAAGCAACGTTTTAAATACATAATAAACGATACACTCTTTATTATTAAACAGCGCCAATGAGCAATGCGTTCTTATTGTTTAGTTTAAAAAATAAATTTGGAAATAATTTTTTTATGAAAATATGTAACAATATAGATGACTTAATATAATATATATACAGACATTATTGAGATCCTGTCGACAATAATGCTAATAGCGCGCTTGTGGCTCCTACAGAAAATATGTAGTTTAATGCAGGTGAAAATGTCTTCAAGATATAAAATGAAGATACAATAACAAACGCCAAGAAAAGAGCATTGTTGTAGAAAATTGAGAATGTTGTTGCTTCATAATCCGCCACTTCATTTTTCTTCCATAAGATTCTAGAAATATTTATAAAAATATTATATAAATTATTTATTATACACAAAATACAACATAAATATTTAGAATAACAATTATTACCTTTCATCTTTTTCCTTTTTGCTCATTTTCTTGTCCTCTGCAAGCTTACGATTGATCTCTTTCGTTACAGCATCTTCTCTTTTTACAGCAATCTGTGTAATATATCTTTTTATATGTGTATGTATACATATGTGTGTGTATAAAACGCGTATATATAAAATAATATTAATTTCCTGTTATTTCTCAAGTCTGTATATTTTTTATCAGCAAGTTAGAAAAAAACAAAACTCACAAAATCTCTAATTTAATATCACAAATTATGACAGAGTTTTTTTTGTATTATATATTTAAAGTAAATAAGCATTGTTATTTCCATAATACAGAATTCTTTTAAATATATAATGTATACCTTATGCTTGAGGATAAATTTTGTATTTTTGTATGCCAGTGCAAGAGAATATGTGCTTGCTAGTGTAACCACTATAAAATATACCAAGTTGGAGTATAAATCAATTAAATGTATTCTCCAAAATAGCCCTGAAACACATAAAAAAACAGTTTGATTAAAGTGAAAACATAATCGATTTAATCTTGCAATGAATGCTAAATATGTTTGACAAACAAGAGTAGATCATTGAATAACATATTAGATATATAAAAAGTTTACTTAACAGAAATATTAAGTGTAATTTATATAGATTATTTATTTATATTTTGTATTTTTTAAATTGTTTACAAGTGGTATGTATTATATACACTCGCACTTTTTCATTTCTTTCTTTGCAAATTTCTGTACACACTCACAGATGGGTATGGCCGAAACAATCAACGCGTTGCCGTAAAATAGCGCCGAGGATTTCGTCGAGACATTTCTGGAGAAGTCCTGCAGCAATAGCTCCTCCTCTTTCGTGAACGATTTCGATTTACCGGACATCTTCAATTTATCGTGTCAGAATAAGCAGATAAATCACACCTTGTTGTTTCGCCGCTTACATAGAAACCAAACTCTGATGACGGCGAGTGAATTATTACACGTAGTGCGCGTGCGTAAAATCAGCCGGTGTGGAGATGTGTCGTCTGACGACGTGTACGGAGAAACGTCATCGCTGCTATCGATTGCGGCGTAAATCGTTTTTCGCTCCCCCTATAAACAGTTGCTTCAAGCTCTTGGAATAAGTTCGTGTTCATACACATCACCGATCGCAGCTACATTAATAACTCAATTTACCGATTTCTTCCCCCTCTCTCTCTCTCCTGCTTAACTTAAAAAAATGAATTGTCCATCGTCGAGATAACAGTCACGAATGAACACATCTGGTGTTTCCGGAGTGTATATTGTGAGTCACTTGGTGAAACTTTTGATAGATTGATTGTGACCTGCCCAGTCAATCATCAGATACTCCTCAGGACTCTTTCTCCGACGAGATTGTCGATTGTGGGCGCGTATCCTCCAGATGTATTTGATTCTAGTGTGAAGATTCGTGAAAGAGATCATTCGGGACGAACATGGACGATGTGAACGAGAAGTCCGCGGCGGACTCGCAAACGTCAACGTTGACCGAGAATCACAATTATAACAGACTTCGCAAGAGAAACGTAAACGATTCGAGGAATGTCAACGGGGCCAACGGAGAAAATGCGAGAAGTGAACGCGTGCCCCTCGTAATTTTGTCCGACTCTACGAAAGCGTGGCACGACGGTAGCGTGCCACGGATACCTAACGTCATCACTACGGACGTGGTTGCATCAGGTAAACTGCAAAACGGAGTGCTGATTCATAAAGACAATTGCGACGACGACGACGACGACGATAACGACGACTCCCGTGCGACGGACCTTTTCATCAATCGTGAGAAGATGAAAATCAACGTCATATGTGGCAGTATCGCCAACCCGGATCTGACCCTAGGAGAGCTAAGACTGCTTGGCTGCAGCAACGAGGGCTTCGTTAATGGTACTTTGCCCAAGTGACAGTACATTATGATCAATAAGGAACCTTACAGTGATCTCGTTCGAAGATACTTATTCAAAGATTTTTTATGAAAGAATTTGTTTTCGCTTTGGTTGTTATCAGTTTCTAGATAGACATCTTTCAAGTGTCTTGCAATATAAATTTGTCTTTAAAAAACAACTTGGTTCCTTCTTGAGAATAACTTCGCTACTTGTAAACCAAATCTTGAAATCATGAAGATGATCTGTAGATGATATACGAAGGGTACTATGGCCAAAGTTGCTGAGATTGGTGCAAGAAGATTCTGAGCCAGTAAGTGGACTGGAAACTGTACATACCTGCATACCGAATGAGATTTATCAGCAGATACTGAAAGACGTGGCACGTAGCGGCAGTCATATCTCGCAAGATGCGACAGAAAAAGAAACAGAGAGTTTTCAGGAACAATTGACACAGCTTATGTGCTGGGTGCTTCACAGGCATTCACAATTGAAGTTAGTATTTTCAGACATAAGTAATTATAATGATAACGAGGCACAATTTACGTGTTGTAATATAAAATAATGCATACTTAGTTACTACCAGGGATATAACGATGTGGCAGCTACAGTGCTGCTTGTGATGGGATTGGAAGCAGGTTTATACGTACTCGAAAGTATATCATTAGAGTTCCTAGAAAGATTTATGGAAAAAACTATGGAAAAAGTGAATCAAGAACTATTCTATATATTTGCACTGCTAGAGCGGATACATCCAACTCTTCTGGAACATTTAGAAAAGTTAGTTGCGTTATATACTATATATATATATACAGGGTGTCCCAGAATTGCCGTACAATCGCTCGTAGGCAGGTAGAAGGAGTAAAACTGAGTCGAAAAGTCCTGAACCATTTTTTTCTATTATTTATACTAAAGGAGTAATTATTGAGTAAATCAGGCCAATCAGCGCAGACCTTTAGCCAG